GAGGAGGAGGAGGAGGAAGAGGAGGACCAGGAGGAGGAGGATGAGGAGGAGGAGGAGGAGGAGGATGCGGAGGCAGAGGCGGAGGAGAAGGGGAGGAGGATGAGGAGGAGGAGGAGGAGGACGAGGTGGAGAGGAGGAGGAGGGAGGAGGAGGAGGAGGAGGGGAAAGCGGAGGAGGAGGAGGATGCAGGAGGGGAGGAGGCGGAGGGGAGGAGGCGGAGGAGGTGGAGGTGAAGAGGAAGGAGGAGGAGGAGGAGGAGGGTGAGGAGAATGAGGAGGTGATGAGGATGAGGAGCAGGAATAGAGGAGTGAGGTAGGATGGAGGGAGGGAGGGAGGAGGGATGGAGGGAGGAGGAGGAGGGGGGTGAGGAGGACGCGTGGAGGAGGAGGCAGGAAGAGGAGGAGGAGGAGGATGATGCTGATGACGGAGGAGGAGGAGGAGGAGAAGGCGGAGGAGGAGGAGGAGAGGAGGAGGAGGGAGGAGGAGAAAGCGGAGGAGGAGGAGGCTGAGGAGGCGGAAGGCGGAGGCGGAGGCGGAAGGAGGAGGAGGCGGAGGAGAGGAGGAGGCGGAGGTGGAAGAGTGTGGAGGCGGAGTGAGGAGGAGGTAGGAGGAGGCGGAGGAGGAGGAGGAGGAGGAGGAGGAGGGGGTGGAGGGGAGATGGAGGAGGAGGAGGAGGAGGAGGAGGAGGAGGATGGAAGGAGGAGGAGGAGGAGGAGGAGGAGGAGGAGGAGGAGGAGGAGGAGGAGGAGGAGGAGGAGGAGGAGGAGGAGGAAGGAGGAGGAGGAGGAGGAGGAGGAGGAGGAGGAGGAGAGGCGGAGGAGGTCGAGGAGGAGGAGGAGGAGGAGGGAGAGAGGAGGAGGAGGAGGAGGAGGAGGAGGAAGGAGGAGATAGGAGGAGGAGGAAGGAGGAGAGGAGGAGGGAGGGAGGAGGAGCAGGAGGAGGGAGGGAGGAGGATGAGGAGGAGGAGGAGGAGGACGGAGGGAGGGAGGGAGGGGGAGGAGGGAGGGAGTGGAGGGACGGGAGGGAGGGGAGGGATGGAGGGAGGGAGGGAGGGAGGAGGAGGAGGAGGAGGAGGATGAGGAGGAGGAGGAGGATGAGATGGAGATGGAGATGGAGATGGAGATAAAGATGGAGATGGAGATGAAGCAGCAGATCGAGGCTCTGGGTGCGCTCGAGGGGGAGCAGGAGGAGGAGGATGAGGATGAGGAGGAGGAGGAGGATGGGGGAGGTGGAGGAGGAGCAGGCGAGGGGGGGAGGAGGAGGCGGACCACTGTAAGCCCACGACGCACCAACGATGTTGTAATACACTCCCCCTTCCACTATCCTTCTTTAGATGCCCCAGAACTAATTTGTTCGACGATGATGATGCTGCTGATGATGCTGCTGCTGATGATGATGATGCTGATGATGCTGATGATGATGATGCTGATGATGGTGATGATGCTGCTGCTGCTGATGATGATGTTGATGATGATGATGATGATGATGATGATGATGGTGGTGGTGATGATGATGATGATGACGAATGCTGTGATGATGATGCTGAGATGATGATGATGCTGATGATGATGATGATGATGCTGATGATGATGATGAGGCTGAGATGATGACGATGCTGATGTGATGATGATGATGTGACGATGATGATGATTGATGCTGATGATGATGATGATGAAGCTGATGATGCTGCTGACGATGATGAGATGATGATGATGATGCTGATGCTGATGTGATGATGTGCTGATGATGAGATGATGATGATGATGATGAGAGATGATGATGAAGATGCTGATGTGATGATGATGATGATGATGATGCTGATGATGAGGATGATGCTTGATGGTTGATGATGATGTGATGACGATGAGGATGATGATGATGATTATGCTAATGATGATGATGATGATGATGATTTATGATGATGATGATGATTGATGACGATGATGATGATGATGATGATGATGATGATGATGATGATGATGATGATGATGATGATGATGATGATGATGATGATGATGATGATGATGATGATGATGATTAGATGATGATGATGGTGTCCCGATGAAGATGATGATGATGTTGATGATGGTGTCGATGATGATGATGATGATAGTGTCCCGATGATGAGGATGATGATGATCATGATGATGATGATGCTTGCGATGCGATATGATGATGATGATGATGATGATGATGATGATGATGTGATGATGATGATGAGATGATGATGATGTGATGATGATGATGATGATGATGATGATGATGATGATGATGATGATGATGATGATGATGATGATGATGATGGTGATCAGGAGGAGGAGGAGGAGGAGGAGGAGGAGGAGGAGGAATAGGAGGAGGACGATGACGTGGAGGGGGGAGGAGGAGGAGCCGCCGCAGAGCCCTCCAGGGTGGGATAGGGGCTCGGGTGATTAGGTAGTAAGTAACGGAAGCTTCTGCAGGTCTTGCAGCGCGTGTACATGGGCGAATGGCGTCAAATAGGGCCCCATTCTGCCCAGGGGCGAAAGATATGGTTCGAATCGCGTCGGCTTGAACCCAAATTGGGCCCACCAGCGCCCGATGACGCCACGCGAGTGAGATGAGGTGGAGGATCAGGAGGAGGAGGAGAAGGAGGACGAGGAGGAGGAGGAGGAGGAGGAGGAGGAGGAGCAGGAGCAGGAGCAGGATGATGATGAGGAGGAGAAGGAACATAACGAGAAGGGGGAGGAGGAGGGGGGGAGGGGAGGAGGAGGAGGAGGAGGAGGAGGAGGAGGAGGAGGAGAAGGCGGAGGAGGAGAAAGAGGATGAGGAGGAGGAGTAGGAGGAGGAGGAGGAGGAATAATAGTATGATGACGATGACGCTGCTGCTGATGATGATGCTGCTGATGATGATGACGCCGACGACGATGGTGATGCTGTTGCTGAGGATGATGACGATGCTGGTGATGATGATGCTGATGATGCTGATGATGATGACGATGATGACGATGGTGGTGGTGGTGATGGTGATGATGCTGCTGCTGCTGCTGATGATGATGATGATGATGATGATGATGATGATGCTGATGCTGATGCTGATGATGATGATGATGATGATGCTGCTGATGATGATGATGATGACGATGATGATGATGATGATGGTGATGATGATGATGCGGAGATGTGATAGCTGATGATTGATGATATGATGAGTGATGAGATTGATTGATGTGATGATGATGATGATGATGATGATGATGAGATGATGATGATGATGATGATGATGATGATGATGAGCAGGAGGAGAGGAGGAGGAGGAGAGGAGGAGGAGGAGGATGCTGATGATGATGACGAGGAAGAAGGAGGATGAGGATGAGGAGCAGGAGGAGGGAGAGCAGGGTGACGAGGAGTAGGAGAAGAACAGGCGGATGAGAAGGAGGAAGGAGGATGGGAGGAGGAGGAGGAGGAGGAGGAGGCGGAAGGAGGAGGAGGAGGAGGCGGAAGGGAGAGGCGGAGGCGGAGGCGGGAGAGGAGGTGGAGGAGGGGAGGAGGGGGAGGAGGAGGGGAGAGGAGGAGGAGGAGGAGGAGGAGGAGGAGGAGGAGGAGGAGGAGGAGGAGGAGGAGGAGGAGGAGGAGGACGAGGAGGAGGAGGAGACGAGGAGAGGAAGGAAAGAGGAGGCGCAGGTAGGAGAGGAGGAGGAGGAGTGAGGAGGAGGAGGAGGAGGAGGAGGAGGAGGTAGGAGGGGAGGAGGAGGAGGAGCAGGAGGAGGAGCAGGAGGAAGAGCAGGTAGTTTTGAGGAGGAGGATGAGGAGGAGGAGGAGGAGGAGGAGGAGGAGGTGGAGGAGGAGGAGGGGCCCCGAGGACTCGCCGCCGCCACTCCGTTCCATCTCCCCTCTGTTTGGCCCGCAGTGCTCTTCCCTGCGGATTGCGGCCGCCGCCCCCCCCCCCCCCCCCTAGTTCGGCCGACGCCGACGACGCCGACGCCGACGCCGACGCGGACGCCGATGCCGACGACGCCGACGCCGACGACAACGACGACGACGACGACGACGAAGACAAAGACGACCACGGCAACCACGGCGGCGGGGAAGGCTTCTCAGGAGCGCCCGCGCCTTCTAAGAAGCAAGCTCCTGCGAAGCCTCCCCCCTCCCTCTACCCCCCACGTGCTCGCCGCCAGCCTTTGCCTCCGTCCCCCTGGGCCTCCCTCGCGGGGCAAGGGCGGCTGAGATCGGAGGGTCGGCCGGGGACTCCTCTGGCCACGCCCAGCCTCTCTGCAGCATCCGTCAGCACCGCAGCGGGTTCGGCGACCATCCAGAGATGCCTCACGACGAAGCCGCTGCCGCACCGGGTGCTCTCGACGCGGCATCGTGCTCGGGAGGGAGGGCTGGGGCGTGGTCGCCGCTGCGAGGGCATGGCTCCATGACCAGGCGGGTCGCATCCAGACTCCGATGCGGCCCCGCAGCGTTACCTGAGATCCATGGCCACTTCCGTCGAGTTTCTCTCCGCGGGCGTGGTGCGTTTGCAAAACCCCAGCCTTGGGCAGACCCGCCTGTGGGAGGCGGCAGCTTCTGGGGCCGCGGGCCCCGGGCGCCACTCCCAGGCCGCGTGGGGCCTTGCAAGCGTGCCTCTCGCGCGGTGTGCTCGCGTGGGCCTCTCGCGTGGTGTGCTCGAGCGGGCTCCGCACTCCCTCCGCTCTTCCCGCGCCCCCCCCTCCTGCGCGGACGCCGTCCCGCGTGCGCCGCGCCGCGGTGCGCCCCCGTCGCCGATCCTCCACCCAGGTCGGCTGCAGCCGAGGGCGAGCAGCTGCACAAGCAGAGACCAGCGGAGCTCCGCGCGGATGTCTTGGGTGGGCGCTGGCCCCCTCCCACCAGCGGCGCCTCTGGCGCCGCCCCCGGCGCGCTCCGCGCGCCGGCCATGGAGGGAACTCCACCGCAGATCCGAGCGATCTGCTCGGACCCTTCTGCAGGTCTATGTATGCTTTTATGCAGCTGCTTGTTCCCTTCTTCTCGGAGCGCCTGGGCAGGCTGCACCCGGAGAGTTCCTTCGACGGTCTGCCTCTTTCCAGCTCCGACCACCTTCCTCGACCTCGGCCTCCTCGGCACTCGGGAGGCCGAGGTCGAGGGAGATGGCTCGGGGGCTCGACAACGGGCCCCGGGTCGGGCGTCCAGCAATGGCGGTGCGACAACTGGGGGGTGAAGGACTGTGCACATGCTGTGCTCTCAAGGGGCTCTAAAGGGGCCCCCTGGGGCACGGAAGGTGCACGTTTCTCCCCCCCCCCCCCCCCTATCGCCCCCCCTCATTTCACGCCCGGTCGGGGCCATCATCTGGACGCCCGAAAGGGGTATGGAAAGAATGGGTCCACTGCCCGACAGCAGTTCCTGCTCCTTTTGAACAGGGCTCGCTGTCCGCGCCGCCGCGGCCCGTGTCTATGCGAAACAGAAGGCCGCCCGCCCAACAGCGGCCGCTGTTGGTTTGGGGCAGCATTTGTTGTTGGGCATTGTGCCCATTCTTTCCGTACCCATTTCGGGCGTCCAAACATCAAGCACGGAGCCGGGACGCGACGACGCCGATGCCCGACCCCGGCGTGGCACATCTGCCTGGCCTCTCGGGGCCGCAGAGCTGCTCTCGCGGCGTGCGCCGCGCTGGAGCTGGGGTAAAGTCGGGCCTGTCCCCCTACAGGGGGATTTTCGACGAAACATTTAAAAATGCACCAAACATAGTCCAAAAATAGTCAGGGGACTATGTTTTGAATATTTTTTACCTTTTTGGGGTAGTTTGGGGGAATTTTGTTCGTCGAACATTTTCCTGTAGGGGGACACGCCCGACGGAAAGCTGGGGCCGAGGGGGGGGGGGTCCAGACATGGTACGGCACCTGGGCGCCGTCTCCGCCCATCTTGTCGGGCAGGGGGGTAGCACAGTCAAGTCGCACAGTAAGGATGATCAGCTTTCCCGTGGTCACCCCTGGCATCCTGGCCCCTTCCTGCCTTGGCGACGTTCGCTGGCCAACCCCGTTTGGAAACGCTAACATGGCTCTTCAAGGCTCTTGCATCCTAATCCTTTCCGCGCATCTTTACTCTGCTACTTGACTGGACCCCTGGGTGCCGTCCCCTCGCCTGTTGTCAGGCGGGGGGGTAGTAGGACCGGGATGCAGTCAAGTTTGATTAGTAGGTCGACCCTGCCAAATCATGGAACCCTTGTGTCCTCTGATGAGCGACTCATGCCCTGCACATTCCTGTGGCAATGTGGCACTCGGCAGGGCCTTGTGTTCTGTGGTGTGTCCTCTCCCATCAGTCTCGACTGTATACGCCGTTCTAGAGTGTTCATGGGCGCTCTCGGAGCTTCCCGGAGCGCTCTGGACCGGCCGCGGCGCCCGAAACATCTTGCAGGACCGCTGGAATTCAGGGATCCCCGATTCGTCCCAATTCCATTTTGCTCAAGAGGAAAAGAAGCACACAGACACAATTCATCGTCGATTCCCCAGAAAATATGGGAAATTATGGGAAGGGGGAGGAAGACAAAACCCCCGAACATATTGGAAACTATGGGGGTGCTTTTTTTATTTGCCTCTCTTGGAGGCCTCTTGGGCCGTCTTGGGGCGATATGTGGGGCCTCTTGGGCCGTCTTGGAGCGCCAGGAAGCCGAACAGATGAGAACGGCAAGGTCCTTCAAACACTGAAGGGAAATCTATGGTTTTTGCCTTCTGGAGCCCTCTTGAAACGCTTCTTCAAGGCCTCATTGGGCGTCTTGGGAGCGTCTGCGGCCGTCTGGAGACTATCTTGGGCGTCTTGGACCGATCGGTCGGCGACTCGGAGCCCTCTTGGACCGTCTTGGAGACTCTTGGGGCCCGCTAGGAGCGCTCGGGGGCGCCTGAAAGCCGCGCCCAGAAGGAAAACCCATCTCTGAGTAGTACTGGCTAGGGTACTTTTCGTCTGGGGACCCCCAGGGGCCGCCCCGCGCGCGCGAACTAGAAATATTGTTTACCAGTAGCCGCAGATCTCAGCGCGCCTCTGGCCCGTTGGCCTGGTTTGATCGGGTACATTTGCAGGCAAACACTTCTATTGCTAATGCTTTTGGCCCTCCTACTTTAGGTCCCCTCGCCAAGGGCTAACTAAGGGTTCTCTCTTGGTCGATCAGGGAGGGCGCAGGGAGGGGAAAAAGAGAGAGGGAGGGGGCGGGACGGACGCGCGCACCGCGCACCCGGGCCCTCGGAGGGCCAACAGGGGGGCCCTCGGAGGCTTCCCCGCACGTCCCCGCGCCTCCGTCGCCCTCCGTCGCCCCCCTCGCGCGCAAGAGCGCGCGCCCGCCCCGCCCGCGCGCGGGCGGCCGCCGGGCGTGCGGCGCGCCCGCGGAGGCGCAGCGCGGAGAGGGCGCGGAGAAGGCGGAGGCCGGCCCGCGGGCACGGGTGCCCAGGGCCGGGGCTCAAGAGACGGGGGTCAACAAGGGCTCCCTCGAGGGCGCGAAGTTATTCGCGCTTCGCGGTCCTCGTTCCTTCTCCCCCTCCTCCTCGTCCTCCTATTCTCCCTTTGGGAGGGCGGCGCGAGGGCGCGAAGTTATTCGCGCTTCGCGCTTCGCGGAGCGCGAAGCGCGAAGTTGGGAGCCCTAGGTCAATGCAAGCGGGAGTCAGCCAGGGCACCGGATCCTGCAGGATCCTGCGAAAGCCCCCCTCGGCTGACCCGGGTCAGCGAGCCGCTCGTGGCCGCGAGGCGACCGCGCATTTTTGGCCGACCCAGGTTTGCGAAGACCTGCGTCGCAGTTTTTTGTTCCTGCATTGCAGTTTTTTGGTTTTCTGCTGACCCGGGTCAGGATTGACCCGGGTCAGAAGATCCCCGACAGGTGGAGGGCCAGGCTCCCGCCGGCACGATCGAGGTGGGTGCGGGGAGGGAGGGGTGCGAAGGCCAGCAGCCGCTTCTGTTCGTCTTTTGAACAGGGCTCGCTGTCCGTGCCGCCGTTGGCGTTGCCCAGTCGAGACAAGAGGCCGCCTGCCCAGAAGTGGCCGCTGTCGGTTTTGGACCACAATCGTGTTTTTGGCATCGTGCCTCGTGCCCATCTTGTCCGTACCCCTTTCGGGTGTCCCAAGGAGGTGCCGGGGGAGGGCCAAGCTTCTGGTGGCGGCCCGAGGCAGCACGAGTTTGCCAGGCCCTGAGATCCGGGCCAGGGCGCGAGCCGAATGGTGTTCTGGCGATCTCTCGGGCTGGGGAGCGAACGCAAAGCGAACACGGAAGAGCCTCTTTAGTCCGAGCTCGGATCTGGGCGCCGCTGTATTTTTTTGCACAGTGGGCGTTTCCGCCATGCGGCGGGCCCCAGTGGGCGTTCCCGCCATGTGGCGGCCCCAGGACCATCGCAGATCGAGCCAGCTCGAAAGCTGCGGCAGAAAGCGTGGGTCCAGCCCTCGCAGGTGGTTTTTCTCCCCCAATCCCTTAGTTCCGCACGAAACGTTTGGCCGTGCAGGAAAGAGGGGAAACCCTTGGACACACCCGGACGCACCTCTATCGAGGATCGACGCCCCCCTGTCGTATATCCCAGGGTGGGGCCCCGAATGTCAGGTCCATTCGAGAACCCCACGACGCGTGCGATTAGGGCTGGCATACCTCACGTTGCCCCGCGACGTTGCAGTCTTTCAAGACCTCGTGGGGAGGCCTTCCTGCTCCTGCCAGCCCCTTCGGCGTCCCGGGGGGCCGCTCCGCAGCCCCCCCCCGGGGGACGTCCGCCAGGCAGGGCCGCCCACTGTCCGATTCGGTGCGCTTCGGCTCCCGGGCTGGGGTTAACGTCGAGTCGGGCCTGCCCCTCTACAGGGGGAATATCCAAAAATAGTCTCAAAAAATGGTCTGGGGACGATTTTTGAGCATGTGTTGTCCGTTTTTGAATATTTTCTGGGTCGTTTTTCTATGTCTCGTCGAAGCTCCCCCTGTAAGGGGGACACGCCCGACTTGGGGCTGGGGCCGCGATGCCGATGCGATCTGATCTGGCTCGCTCCGCGGGCAGCCGCCGGGGCCAGCCAGAGCCGGGCGCGGCGAGCGCGCCTGGCTCTGGCTGGCCCCCCCCCCCCCCCACGCGCCTCGGGCGCGCGCGCGTAGCTTCGGCCGCGCGGACGGCTGCGTCCAACTGGACATCGAGCCGATAGCGATAGCGATAGATATAGCGCGGCGAGCCGACGGCGCGATTCGATTCGGGACGGCGCGCCGGCGGTCCGAGGCGTGCTCGGTCCGGCTTCGCGGCTCGGTGCGGCTCGGGGCTTCGGGGGCGGAAGGTGGCTGCGTGTGTGTGCCGGCGCTCTCTTCCCTGCGCCGCTCACCGCAGCAATTTTAGACACAAGTTGAGTTGTGGCAGGATCTAAACACCAGTTCACTTTCTGTAGAAGTGTCAGCTTGAATCGAAGAGCCATTGCATAAACAGATCGTCGAGGAACTTGTCTGCTTGAATCGCCGAGGAGCCCCCTTTCCAGGGGGGTGATGACTACGGGGGGGTGGATATTCGCAGGCGATTTCTCTCCCCCAATCCCCGACTTCCGCCAGAAAAGTTTGGTCGCTCAGAAAAGGGGAGGAATCTTGGGATACATCCCGAGGGGGCTATTCGGACGCACCCCTGTCGAGGATGGACGCCCCCCCCCCCCTCGTATATCCCAGGGTTGGGCCCCAAATTGTTGATCCTCTTGAAAACCTCACGGAGCCTGGGATAGGGGTCGACGCATCCCCTGTTAGATATCATGGCGGGGGCCATGATATTTCCCCAGATTTCATGGCGCCTCTTCCTATTCCATTACGTCCCTGGCCCCCCCGCTGGGCCGCGCACATGCCGCCGGTCATGATTTGCACACACCCCTCGTGGACACCCCCCTCTTGGCCGCTCCCGATGGCTGGCAGTGTAGCCCAGGGGGAAGCGCGGGTCGCGCGAGGCCTGAGTCAGGCTTGGCAGACATCGAGGAGCGTATACTACTGCACAGCTGTAAGCTCTCGTCGTTGCTCCGCGCGGAGCGTTGCCGGCGTGGCATTTTTCACAGCGGCCGTTTTCGCCCCCTTTCGGGCCCTGGGACCCTCACGGATCGATCCGGCTCGAAAAATGAAGCAGAAGGACGGGGTCCAGGGCTCCCGTCGTGATGTTTTGCGATGTTGCATTTTTTTCGCAACGTCGGATCTCAAGGACTCCCCGGACCCCTCCCAGGGGTCCTTCTGACAGAATGCCGAAGAGAATCCTGCCGTGGTGACGAGGGCTCTCCAGCCAGGACGAGCAGCGCCCCCCACAAAAAAAAACGTCCCCCCCCAGAGGTCTGGACCCCTTCCCCAGGAATTTGTTTCTGTCCCTACATGCTTAGTGGGATTATGTTTTTTTTCGTGCCGCGTCACACCCGCGTCTCTTCCCACACACACACACACACTTCCCTTTTCCCCTCCTTCTCGTCCTCTCCTCCTCTTTCTCGCCTCACCCTCGCGCAACACATGCACGGCACGTGTATGAGACACGCGTTCTACATACAGCCGCACGCATGCACGCACGCAAAACACATGCGCTCAAGATTCGCAGGGCGTGGCAGGCGTGGCAGGCGCATTGCATCATACACCCAATAAGTATGCGCACGGTCGCCCAGTCCATCGCAGCCGTGGTATCTTCTCGAAGCCACAGGGGGTGCGCTGGGGGTGGGGGCGCCCTGCGATGCAGGTTCCCAGGGCGTGGCAGGCGTGGCATTTTCTCGACGCCACATGGGTTGCGCTGGGGGTGGGGGCGCTAAGCGCTGCAGGCTCGCAGGGCGTGGCAGGCGTGGCATTTCCTCGACTCCACAGGGGATGCGCTGAGGAGGGGGGCGCTATGCGCTGCATGCTCCCAGGGCGTGGCAGGCGTGGCATTTCCTCGACGCCACAGAGGGTGCGCTGGTGGTGGGGGCGCGATGTGTTGCAGGCTCCCAGGCAGTGGCGGGCGTGGCATTACCTCGACGCCACAGGGGGTGCGTTGGGGGTGGGGGCGCCATGCGTTGCAGGCTCGCAGGGCATTCGAATTGGGCGCTCCAGGCGACGGTTCTGGCTTTCTGTCGAGGTGTCCCGTATGTGACACAGCGTGGTAGGCGTGCCACTTTCCAACATCCTTCCGCCGCCCCAGCAGCTCTCGACCTCTTCCCAAGTACTCGGCTCGTGCTCCCAAGGCGCGACTGGCGCTGCACTTCCATGACCCTTGAGAGCTGCGCGCGGGGTGGCGGTGGGGGGTGCGCGGGCGAGAACTCGTCTCTTATATCCAGAACTGTAAGTGAACACCTTGGGTCAAGCTGGCTCCGCGCGCATGCGCTCTCACGCAGGCGCTCCTGCAATCCTACCTCAGAGCACCGCCCTACCTGCGCGCGGCAGCCACGCCCCAACAAATCTCCGCGGACGCGCTGCCACCTCCATGTCTTGCGATGAAGACTGCAATGGTTCAGGTGGGCGGCGAGGTCAACGTGGAGACCTTGCGCAGACGCGCCAACGGAGTGGTGCAGTCCGCTTTGAATGCGTTGGCCCGATGCGCTCTACGCGAAGTACTCCGACATGGACGACGACGGCAAGAGGCAGTGCCTGTTGGCGTACCTGCGGAACCCTGTGTCGGGCGGATTCCCCCAGGAGGGTGTTTTAGACGACGACGGAGGCCCGCCAGCGAAGGTTCGGCGAGCGCGCGAGACTGGCAGCGCGGCTGCTGACACAGAGGCCCTCTCCTCAGCGCCTGCCACGCCTGTGAAGGCTACGCCCCGCCAGAAGTTCGATGAGCGCGTGGCTATGGAGACGCGGGAGGTCGAGGCCTTCGCTCTGGAACGCCCGTGGATCTCGCCGGCCGCGCGAGGTCGTTGGGGCGCCGCCGCTCAGATATCTGCCATCGAACGGCGTTTCCAGAGACTTTCCGCCCGAGGGATTTACCGATGCCTTCTCCGCCGCGCGTGCAGCTCGGAGTCTCCGCGCGCAACAGTTGCGCCTCTGCTTGCAACGCACTTATTTTTCTCCGCGCCCCGATCCGTCGAACGGCCCTCGATGGCCCCCCCCCGCCGTTCTGCTAGGCCATCCTCATCGTTGCTGGCGCGATTCCAAACCCTTGCCCTCCGGCTTCCTCGTTGCGCCAGTGTCCTCCCGTTTGCATTCCTGGCGTCCGCCTTCGCTCCCGCCCGAGGATGGCCGCGGCGCCGCTGCCGACGAACCTCGTGCGCTTCGTTCAAGTCTCACGACGCCATGTCATATGCCGCCGTGTTCTGTTCGAAACATACAAGGTAGCCAAGCCAACCAACCAGGCGAACCAGACCGACCAGACCAGACCAGAAACGCCCAAACATCGTTCAAAGACACGCGAGCCAGCGAGGCCAACCAACCAGACCAACCGGGCCCGCTAGACCAGCAATCGCCGCCGTTATCAGCCAGACTAACCAGACGAGCTGGCCAGACGGGCCAGATCAGCCAGCCATCCAGACCATGACCTCTCCTTTTTGTTCCCGCCTCGTCCTCATGTCTGCACGTATGCTGCTGCTCCCCCTCCTCCTCCTCCTCCTCCTCCTCCTCCTCCTCCTCCTCCTTCTTTCCGGTCTCGCGTCAGCGTTTTGCTCAGGGCTAACTGCCGCGACCGAAGGCCTCGCGCACCGTAGCCGCGAGACGCGATGAGCTATCCCGCAAATTCAGCACTCGCGGGCCTCCCCGCCGGGCGCGCGACATTCGCCGCTTAGCTGGATGGTGTCCATGTCCATGCCTACACTCCCCACTTAGGAGCGTGGAGGAGATTCTGCCTGTTCGACGCCGAGACACCTACCTGTCTTTGGATTTGAAGCCTGTTCCGGTGGAGCGTAATGAATTTGAATTCGTGGAGACTGTCCGACATCTGCCTCTTCGATGAGCAGGGTCGCGAGGTCCGCTGCGCGACAGATGATGCCGTGCCTTTGCGAGATGGTGACACATTCAACATGGATGTGTACCAGAGCAGCAATATTCCGCAACCGGCTAGCAACACCGTTACCGAAATATTCCCCGCGCTTCCTTCCCAGTCGGCGTCGCAGCCGCAGCCCTCGCCTGGGAGGCGACGAGACCGCGACTGGGACAACAGTTTCTCCGACGCGCAGCGCACCTTAACGCCCAGATTATTCAGAGACCTTGTTATCCTAGTGAGGTGGACGCTGTCAGAGGCTTCCGCCGAACATGGACTTGTTGGATTTTCGAGTTGGGCAGATTCAGAGTTTGCCGCCGAAGATAACCCTGCTGGATTTTCGAATTGGGCACTGTCGGAGGCTTTTCACCGGAAGCCGCGTCCCGTGTCTTCCATCAGTTGATTGCCCGTTGCCTTCCTCAAAACGGCCTTCGGTCATTCATTTTTCTTTGATTTGCGTGACTTTTTCGCCATTTGGGCAATCCCTCCCCTACCTTTTGCGCTCAGGGGGGGCCTACTCAGCCTTACTCTTCTTTCTTTCGCTCCAGAGCTCTCCGTTGCCACTTTGGCCCAAGGCAGCGCGTCTAGACCCGTGCCCTCTCCTTCCCACAGCTCCGCCTCTTGTGACTACCAGGGCCCAGGCTTCAGACGAGGCGCCGGTACTGCTCGCGCTCAGCGAATATACGGGGCCGAACCCGGGACGGCGGTGGGCGGCCGCGTCGTGCTCGCGCGCCTGTGCAATGTAAAGTCGAAGGGAAGGGCATAGGGAGCGAACCAAAAAAATGCGGGAGTGGTACTGATACGCAAGGGACCGACGTGTGCGAGCTGCACATACTCGGATCCTTGGCGGCAAGACCATGTCGGGCTTCGTAGTGCTTGTCCGTTCGGCGGGCGCCGAGGATCGCTTTCAAGCTGTTCCCAGAAAGCAACACATCTCTCTCTCTGTCTCTCTCTCTCTTTCTTCGCATATCCTCTTCAATCGCCCTCCTTTTTCCCCCGTGGACCCCAGGGAAAGAAAGCGAGGACGAGGGGGACGGAGGAAGAAGGAGGGGGGGAGGAGGAAGAGAAGACATCTTAATCGATCCTGGGGGCCACGTGTGGCAACTGTTGCCTGGCAGGTTCTTCACCAGGAATCGGGCCAAACTGGAAGACGGCGAAGCAGGATGTGACATGGTATGTGAACACACGTAGCATAGGATAAGTATGTGGGGTTCCTCGGTAACGCAATTCATCCTGAGTCGTTTGTTGACGGTCCCGAGGCCCGGTTCGGGCCCCCGGAGGCAGAACATAACGAACCATGTGCCGCCGTGCTGTTTTCACAACGCGAGGGGGTCCGTACTCCATGCCGGCGCTTTCCCGATCCCCGGACCTGGTTTCTTCGCACCTCCCGGACGTGTGCATTTCTTCTCGGCGAGGCGAGGACCATCGAGGAGCATCCTGGACCATCGAGCGACAGAAAACACGCGCGAAACCAAACAAAGTACGTGGAATGGGCGTCCGAGCGATGGCGAGGCTCGTGGCGGCCTGTGCCTCGGTGGGACGGGGCTCCCGGCCGGGCGGAGCGGGCCTCGCCCATCCTCGGGCTCTCGGAGTCCCTTGGTCGGGCCTGCGGGGGGTCCCGGCGCGGGGTACCTCGCGTCACGGATCACGGGAGCGAGAGAGGGACGTGGACGTGCACGAGTCCACGTTGTTTTCGAGAGCACGCCTTGCGCGAACGGTCTCACGCGGCTGGTCTCGGGGACTGTACGTTGCATCTTCGGGGGACCTCGCTCGTCTCACAAATTGGTGCCTTTTCTTGTGCCCGACGCGGGCTCATTGGACAGACAAGGTCCCCCGAGGATGCAACATAATATCACGCGGCCGGTCTCGCGGATTGGGGGGGGGGGCATATTCATATAACGGGGTCGGGCGCGTACGTCTTTCGTTGGTTCCTCAGCAGAGGCGCGGTGTCCCAGGTCACGCCCAGATATGAGGACATTCCTGGAGGTCTCGCTCGGCGCGCAACATGGGTTGTAGTATCCAGTTCGCACGTTCGCCCCGTAAGATATGCGACGACATCCGCGCGGCGATGCTCCGACGCAGACCCAACGTAAACCCGACGTGAGCTCGATGCAAATCCGACGTGAATTTGAAGCCCGTTGGGTTCCACGTTGCCGCGCGAGGCGGCCTCCAGAATTTTCCTCATCTGGACCGCGAGAGTAATAGCGGTTCGCGCGTGGTGGTCTGGGCCAGAGCCGCTGCCTTTCTCCCAGGCGGCGGCACGGGAGCGCGATGGCAATAGATAGTCGTGCATCGTGGGGCGCGATGCGCGAAGTTAGGTGACCTAGGGGATCTTCTTGAGATTGCTAGCCTCCGCGTTGAGCGCCGTCCTGAATTACGAGCGCACGAGGCTTGTACAGGACGGGGACATTTCCATGGTTCAATTGGCTTAAGATGGGTTTTTGGAATACCAGAGTTTCTGGCGGCCCTCGGCCATTCGGAGTCGTCCATCGGTCCCTGGCCGCGCGAGACAATAATACTTGGAAATCTGGGAACGCATCAGTATCATTATTCCTCGATCTGATGACCATACGTCCATGCGCTTTTCGCATCTACAGTCAACTTTCCAACGAGGATGCGCAACTTTCCAAGGTTATCCTTGCATCCCTCCCCTCCCGCTCATCCTCGGCCGCTTTCGCTGGCCGCGCCCCGCTCGCAAAGTGTGGACACGGATTTCCAAGGCCCTTGCATCCTCATGGTGCGTCCTTACTTCACGGGTTGGCTGTAATACCTAGTTCACTTCATGTGCGACAGTGGAATCCCATGCCAATAAACACCCTGCTTGCCTCCAGGGTGCCCTGGGTTTGTTGGGTTTCGATAGTTTTGCTGTGGAAAGCGTGACGCTCCCACACCACGAATCAAGGGACGTCCTGGGGTCTCAGGGTTCGGTTTCTTGTGGAAAGTTTCTTGTGGTCGAGCCACTACTGTAGTCCACTTCGTGTGTAATCTCATGATGATGATGATGATGCTGATGGTGATGATGCTGATGATGCTGATGCTGATGGTGGCGATGATGCTGATGATGATGCTGCTGCTGACGATGATGATGATGACGATGGTGATGATGCTGATGCTGCTGATGATGATGCTGATGCTGATGCTGATGCTGATGATGCTGCTTCTGCTGATGATGATGATGTTGATCATGACGATGATGCTGGTGAGGCTGCATATTATGTTGATGATGATGCTGACCATGATGGATGCTGCTGCTGCTGGTGATACTGATGCTGCTGCTGATGATGCTGATGCAGATACTGCTGCTGATGATGACGATGATGCTGATGCTGACGACGACGATGATACTGAGGATGCTGTTGCTGGTGGTGATGCTGCTGGTGATGCTGCTTACGTGGTGGTGATTATGATGAAGATGCCGACGACGTTGATGATCGAGCTGATGATGATGCTGATAATAACAATGCTGATGCTGATGCTGATGATGCTGATGATGATGATTATCATGATAGTGCTGCAGACGCTGATGCTGAATCTGATGATGCTGATGCTGATGATGACGATGCTGATGCTGTTGCTGATGATGATGGTGCTGATGATGATGCTGATGCTGATGATGATGATGATGATGATGATGATGATGATGATACTGCAGATGCTGCTGATGCTGATGCTGGTGATGATGGTGATGATAGTGGTGGCGATGATGATGATAACGCATGATGATGCTGATGATGATATTGATGCAACTACTGATGTTGATGAGTATGTTGATCAGATGCTGTTGATGATGCGGCTGATGAGGCTGATGATGATGATGATGGGGGTGATGCTGATGATGATGGTGATGCTGTTGCTGGTGATGATGATGCTGATGCTGATGATGCTGCTGATTATGCTGATACTGATGATGATGCTGCTGATGATGCTGACGCAGATGTTGATGATGACCCTGCTGATGATGATGCTGCTGCTGATGATGATGATGATGCTGATTGTGATGCTGATGTCGATGATGCTAATGATGCCGCTGATGACGATGCTACTGTTGATGGTGATGCTGGTGATGGTGCTGTCGATGATGATGAAAACTGCTTATGATGATGATGATGATGTCGATGATGATGATGTTGATGATGATGCTGGTGATGCTATTGCTGATAGTGAGGATGATGAGGCTGCTGCTGCTGATGATGATGATGCTGAACATGATGATGCTGATGATGCTGCTGCTGATGATGATGACGATGTTGATGCTGCTGATGATGATGCTGACGATGATGATGATGATGCTGTTGATGATGATGATGATGATGATGATGATGATGCTGATGATGATGATGATGATGCTGATGATGATGATGATGATGCTGATGGTGATGATGATGATGATGATGATGATGATGATGATGATGATGATGATGATGATTATGATGATGCTGCTGCTGATGATGATGACCATGATGAGGATGCTGATGATTATGCTGATGACCATGATGGCGTGGATGAGGATGCTGATGCTGCGACTGATGCTGTTGCACATGATGGGGCTGCTTTTGCTGCTGATGCTGAAGCCGAGGAGGATGAGGAGGAGGAGCACGCGAAGGAGGAGGATGAGGAAGAGGAGGAGGAGGTGGAGGAGGAGGAGGAGGAGGAGGCACCAGACACGGATGAGGAGGAGAAGGAGGAGGAGGAGGAGGACGAGGAGGAGTAGGCGGCGAAGGCGGAGGAGGAGGAGGCGGTGGAACAGGAGAGGAGGAAGAGGAGAACGAGGAGGAGGAGGATGCGAAGGAGGAGGAGGGGGCAGTGGGGGCGGCGGAGGAGGAGGAGGCGGAGGAGGACGCGGAGGCGGACGAGGACGAGGAGGACGAGGAGAACGAGAAGGACGCGGAGGACGAGCACGATGACGAGGAGGAGGAGGAGGAGGAGGACTAGGAGGAGAAAGAGGAGGAGGATGAGGAGGAGGGGGAGGAGGAGGAGGACGGGGAGGGATGATGATGCTGATGATGATGATGCTGGTGATGATGAGGCGGATGATGAGGACGATGCTGCTGATGATGCTGATGATGTTGATGATGATGATGCTGATGATGATGCTGATGATGATGATGTTGTTGATGACGATGATACTGATGATGATGCTGATGATGATGCTGATGATGATGATGCTGATGCTGATGACGACGACGACGATGATGATGATGATGATGAGGATGATGGTGGTGCTGATGATGATGGCGATGATGATGCTGACGATGCTGATGATGACGATGATGCTGATGATGATGACGATGATGATGATGATGCTGATGCTGCTATTGATGATGATGCTGATGATGATGATGATGCAGATGATGATGATGATGCTGATGATGATGATGATGAGGATGGTGATGATGATGATGATGATGATGATGATGATGATACTGATGATGATGATGATGATGATG